GAGCGAGAGAGCGAGAGAGCGAGAGAGCGAGAGAGCGAGCGATCGGACCTGCCAAAATGACGTAAAGGAGAGGGGCCGGAGGGAGCGAGCCAGCACGGATGCACGGATGCACGGATGGAGGTGGACAAGAGGTAGGGATCAAGCTAGGGTCTTGGAGAGCAGTAGCGATGAGCCATGGCGGCTGGGGGCCAAGCGAGTGCGATCGCGTCTCGACAGCCCCGCCTGCCGCGATGCGGTGCGTGGATTTGGGTGCGATGCGATGCGATGCGATGCGAGGCCGACTCGACTGCGTTGCTGCTCAGCCTGGCTGTCCGTCGCGTTGAGCTCCGTCTGTTCGCCCGTCGAGCGACGGAAGCCTGAAATCCAAAATCCAACAACGCACCGCCCAAAAAATCGCCAATTTCCGCCGCCCTTTCTTGCCTTGCCTTCTCTCTGCCTCGACTCGAAGACGCGCGCCGAGGCCAAGCTTTACGCAGTCTAACATGGACCCACAGCTCGCTCCCCGATCGAGCCAGATCGCCTTACAAATCCGAGAAGATCTGAGGGCCGAGGGCGACTCAGCCGGCGCTCTCCGCTCTCTACAGCTGCAAAAATCTGGAAGCTTCGTTGGGCTCTGCTCCACAACCGGCTGCCTGTGGATGAAATTGGGCGGTGAGCTGCCGAGGAAATTTCGACCAACGACATCCGACATCCGTCCACTGCTGCTGCTTGCTCCCTCTACGCCCTTGTTCGCTTTGGCCCACCTTCTTCACTCTTTACCACTCGACCACTCGCTCGTATTGCCCCCTTGATCTGGCGGCACATCCATCATGCACACGACGCCAGCTCGAGGCGCCGTCGCCCGACTGGCGCCGCTCGCACCCTCCTCCACCTCGGCCACATCCACCCTCACCACCGTCCCTCGCCGCCCCTTGGCCTCGCACCGTCGCCACGACGCTACTGCCTCGAGCTCCTCCACGGCAGCAAAGCTTCCGTCTTCGTCGCGCTCGCTCATCACGCTCTCTCGCTCGGCCGTGCGCACCTCCTCCTCCTCGAGCCGCATTGCTAACCCCGTGTGCGCCACGTGTGGCGATGCTCCGCGCACCTTCTCCTCCTCTGCCGTCCACAGCGCATCGGCAAAGGACCCCTACTCGGTGCTCGGTGTCAAGAAGGATGCCGACGTCAAGGATATCAAGCGCGCCTACTACGGTCTCGCCAAAAAGTACCACCCGGACACCAACAAGGAAAAGGGCTCCAAGGAACGCTTCGTAGAGATCCAGAACGCCTATGACCTGCTCAGCGACGACAAGAAGCGCGCCGCCTACGACCAGTACGGCACCACCGACGGTCAGCCCGGCTTCGACCCCTTTGGAGGCGGGGGCTCCTCGCCGTTTGGTGCCGGCGGCTTCGGTGGCTTCCAGGACTTTGGTGGCTTCTCCAACGCCGGCAACGCCGGGTCCATCTTTGAGAGCCTCTTTGGCGCCTTTGGCGGCGGTGGCGCGCGGCCGGGGCAGCGCGGGCCGGGCTTTGGTGGCGCGGGATTCGCCGGCGAGGCGCGCGGCGAGGATCTCGAGACCACGGTCAACCTCACGTTCGAAGAGGCATGCAAGGGCACCAAGCGCAAGGTGGTCATCAACCCCATCGAGCGCTGCGGCTCCTGCACGGGGTCGGGACTCAAGGCGGGCGCCAAGAAGAGCACCTGTGGCACGTGCAACGGCACGGGCACGCGCACCT